TGACTACATGTATATGTAATTCTACATGTATTTTATGTGATAAAGATATCATTTTTAGTTAGCGTTAGGGTTTTGAAAATTTTGGACCACGTGAATCAACGTTTTCGTGCTAAAAAATACATGTTACATCATAATACATGTACATGTATTATTTATTGGCATCACATCATCAATCAAATGTTTCAAGCAACATTTTCCCAATGAAAACGTGTTTCAATTTATTTTCAAAATCAATCCAAAGACTTAAAATCTCCACACAACAAAATCTGTCCTATTTTTTTTCGACCACTTGTCAACATCAACAGTTCGTTATTTTTACACGCAAAATGAGCAGCGGCGAATATATTGCGAAATTGGCACCGGGTGCTAATGTGCCACCTCCTGTACAACTTTCAAATGATCTTGTGGCCAGGGTTGTTCACGATCATAAATTTATTGAAAAATTATATCGGGATTTTGAGGATGCAGCGAGTGAACAAGACTGTCAGAATATTGCGAATGCTATTATCCGTGAAAGTACGTATGATAAATATACATGTATTATTCTTTGCGCGTTACAGTATATAATTGAATTTTGATTTTTAAAATTAATATTTCTATAAGTTGGTTCCCACGCAAATGTTGAAGAAATTGTGGTTATTCCTGCTTACGAAAAGTATATAAATCCCGATGGTAATAAATACGCCGAAAAAGCGCGTCAAAAAGCACTCGCCGTAAAAAATTCAATTTATGAGCTGCGTGGTTTGAAAATGGGCGAGAAAGGTTTCCAAGCGAAGTTATTTGACATTATGAGTGTGGGTGTAACTATTTATTTCATTTCTTAATCAAATAATCAGAAATAAAGATGAATTATAATTTGCAATATAGACATTTCGTGACCATACTGGAATCGAGGAACAGGAAAGCTTTCCTAAATTGAAAGAATGTGTTGATACCGAAGTGTTAAATGAACTCGGCCATGCATGGAATGAAGCTAAAGAAAAATTTGAGAAAAGGTGAATAATTATGTTATAGCACTTTTCTTTTTATCATATAAAATTAACTATTTGAATAATAATATTTAGGCATCTTATAATTACTGAAAATTAAGTTGATACTTTTTTATTATCCTTTACTAAGAAATTTATCGGATTATTTGAAAAATAATATTTTTTCGGTAACAAAATTTGGTTCAAACCCCATCTGTTCGACCAATAAATTGCAATTATGAATTTTTGTTATTAGCTAATTTATTAATCTTATTATAGCATTCATTCTAATAGTTGGCCAAAATACACCATCTAACGGAGCCGTTCATCTTAGCGAATTAAAATTTATGCAGCGAAAGAATTTTTCTTTATCTGGTTGCTATAGAACAACAAATTATGAAGATAATCTTATATGAATTCAATATAATTGCAAGTAGTAAAAATTTGGACCAATTTATAATGAGCTTGTACATAAATAATATCAAATTCAAAAATCTTATTATTTTTTAACTAGAGAATTTATTAATTATCAAGTGTTTTTTTAAACAAAACTATAACAACTTGTAATTACAATTGAAAAATTTTCCTTTTATCGCGGATTAATAAAAATATTGCTTTATATTCATTTTGGTAATAGATTTATTAGAAAAGATTTTTAATTTACTTTTATATATACTTTGTTTTATTTTATAATTTATTAAAATATTGTGTAATATACAACAATTTCTGTTGTATTTATTCGTGTAATTTGATTTATTTTATCTATTAGAGATTTCTTAAGTCAACGTTATATAGCCTAAAGACGTTTGGTGTAGTCTTTTTTCCCTCCTTTTTCGGCGAGCGTTAACACGGATTAGTTTTACTGATTATCAAATTTTGTTAAACACAGAGAAACATTAGCGTTAGGAATATATAAACTCGAAGTGTTAAAAAAATTAATAGAATTTAATGATAATCAAATATCAATCACAAACAAATTTCCGAGTTGATATTATGTCACACTCAACTCAGAAGTTAGATTGACTAAAGAATTATAGATACGAGAGAGTGCTAGACTGAATGATTTATGCAAAATATATTCTAAGGGTTTCCCGTGCCAATATTATACAATCAAGAAAGGGCAAAGGTAAAGTATGAATCATATCTAATTTCAAATAGCAAAATAATTACTAACCAATATAGTCTCTAATTCAATAGCGCAAATAACTATAAAAATTTTGCTAATAAAACTCAAATAATATTTATTCAAACCACAAAAGTAGGTTATTCCGAAAAAATAATGAAATAAATAATCAAACACGGTTCATCAACTTTGTATGATAAAAGCGGTAAAGTCTTCGATTTTGTTAAGACTAAAGGAATAAAGCTATCGATTTTGTCAAGACACAAACAAATAAAGCCGATAATTTTTAATATTTATCTTCAAACAGTACATTGACTTGTCTTTCATCCTTTATATACAATCTAGTTGCTACATAGCTATCTAAACTACAGACCGCAATTTACTACATAATTTGCGGGTTCTAACGTACAAAGTATGAATTTTTACAAAAGTGTGCGGCCATATTTTGAAATAAAGAATATAATAAAATTGATTGTAATTACAAGAATAATAAACCAAAATCATTATGTACAATACAAATATAAATTTGCTATGAATTTGTAAGAATTTCTATAGATCATAGAATAACGTAGATACTAATGTTTGCAGGAATTTCTACTGATAATCATATTTTAGGAACGCAAATTAAGAATTTACTTAAGAGATTTGTATGATTAGAGAAGGCAGGATTGATGTTGACACCACAAGAATTTTGCGACGCGGTATCAATATTTATGCTACATGTACAAGCTAAGAATTTTGTATGAATTTCGTGGTACATGTATTCGTTCCGGTATATGTGGACAATAGGGATACATAACCATGATCTTCTTTCATATACATGTACGTGTACATGTACATGTACTCGATTATTCGATCATATTGCTACAGGTGTTCTGTAACAGGTAATTTTGGGCGAGGTTATGGGATAATGGGCATGTTATATCTAATGCCGATATCTGCCGATATCTGCCGATATCGTTATGGGTGTCAGCTAAGGATTTTATGTGGCGAGTTTACGGAATAAAAGGATAGCACAGGTATTTATTATTTAGAAAATTTTTATTTTGTTTTTAAGGAATTCTCCACAACTAAAAAGTTCTAACGTTGCTTTTTATAGACAAAAGCCTTAAACAATCGTTCAAACAATTTGATGTAAAGAATTTATTTATTTAAGGGCGCCTTACAATCAATTAACTATTACAATGCTTTTATAGACAAAAGCGCTTAAAATTATAACAATTGTTAAATCAATTTAATCATAAAAATATATGCCTTTTCTGGAGTAAAGGACCTTATCATCAATCAATTTCGCGGGTACAATATTGTTCTTGTTGAATTATAGTTTTGTACAAAAGTCAATTAATTCTATGAATTAGGACTTTAAAGTATACTTTATTTTTCTCTCCGGGCAATGAGTTTTTCGATCCTTTAACATTAACTCTTGATTCTGATGATATTCATGTAATGGAATCCAGATTCTATAAGAAGACTTGATTAAAATGAGTAAGAATACTGTAGCTGATATGTTATCGCTGTTGTATTTGTGGTTTTTGCTGTACGATCTGCTGTAAAAATTATAGTGATGACATTTAGAAAGTAAACAAGAGCTCTTTGCAAACAACTTGCAGGTATTGAATCTGTGTGAGTCTTGACGGTGGCGGCTGTGATGCACGGATTTGTGTCGCGTTTGATTTTTGACTGTTCATTTTGAAATAATTATTGAAAATAACAAAATAAAGACTTCTTCTTTAGTTCTTATACTGTATTATATGTAGTGTGAAATACATATATGATGAAATTTTCATCAATTGTATATGTACTATTATTTAGATTGTGAGAATTTCATCATATGATAAAATACATGACGAAATGCTCATATTAGCGTTAGCAATTATATAGTGAAATGAACATATACAACATATTTATGAATATCTATGATACTGAGTCATCAATTAGATATAATTTGATTATTTTTTGGCAATTAATGTATTTTGCGATTTGTTTTTTGTCCAATCACAAATATAATGATTGTATACTAGAGTCCCGAGCAAGAAAAATATAAAATGACCAAGTGTAATTAGTTTTAATTTAGCCATTTTAGGTATTTATGGCTATACTTTATATCACAAAGCCAAAATTGAAACCTTATACCAGCAAAAAACCCAAGAAACCTGCCAAGAAATAATTTAGTCCCGCATAAAATGAACTCAAAGATGGAATCAAATATTCTTCATTATAGTAAAAGCACTGATTGTCGATATGATAACTATTGCGATGAGTGTTAAGTTCACAGTACTCATGATCGTAGTAAATGTATTCGTTGTCAAACTGCATTGGCTGGTTTTTATATCACAAGCGAATTTAAAACGAAGAATTGTCCAGCGGAAATAAAGATATTGACAATCTAATAAAAGAATGCAATAAAATTAAAAGAGTAGATAAATTATTTGAAATGGTTTCCTTTTGAAAGATTTACCAATATTGAATATCTTGCAAAAGGAGGTTTTGGGATAATTTATAAAGCAACCTTGTTGGATGAACTAGAATACAGGTGGGATCATGAAAAAAATGAATTTAAACGATTGGAAACAGTATAGTTGTGTTGAAATCATTACATAATTACTCAAGAGCTTATAAAAGAGGGTAAAAAAATAAAAATTCTCTGAGATTAAAGTTGCTTCTTGTTTTCTTCTAATATAATTAAATCTTTCAAAAAATAGATCAGACAGCTCTTAAATGCACCGATAATTTATTATGGAATAATATTATCGGAAAATTAAGAGATTCGATATACGATATGCACAAAATAAATTTGTGCATCGCGACTTTCACCTTGGAAATATATTAATGTGGAAACATCCTCAAATTGTTGATTTTGAACTTACCATTCCAACAAACATAAAAATTCCAACCAAGAAATTTACGGTGTATTTCCGAGGTGCTAAATGGAAAGCCATATACCGAAGCTGCAGATATTTATAGCTTTGGAATGGTTGTGTGCAAAATTTTAACAGGTGAATGATCATTCTGTGAACGTAGTCATGATATATATCTTGTATGCGACATATATAAAGGAGTGTGACCTACGTTACTAAATCACATTTCCGGATGTTGCAAATTTATTATTGAAAAATGTTGTGAGCCTATACCAGAAAACAGACCAACTACTAATGATTTGAGAGACTTTATTAAATCTATCAACAATGAAATATATTCACAAGCCGAATACTTTGCATTTTCAGTATTATAGTTCTTTAGAATATCCTAAAACCAAGAAGAAATGAATGGATGCATCAAACGAGAGAAGTAGAATGGAAAAACAACAAATCCACCCAAATGCAATTTACACGAGTCGAATGTTTACTTCAAAGTTAATATCAATACCAACTGATACAGTTACGCACATTTATTTTTGTATTTAATCAAAAAATGTCATTTTAAATCAAACATTTAAATTCTACAAGTGTTAGTTTGTATGTTCCAAATGAAGGTAAATTCACAGTTTTTCAAAAAAAATAACATTAAGACATGTCTGTAAAAGGTGTTTGTTTCCACAAAATTCTTAGCATATGTGACTACTGAATATGATATCGATATCAATGTCAAATCAACAGACATCAGTACATATACATCTAATGAAACAAATACATGCATAATGTAAAGGTAATATCAGTAATGATTTTATTAACAACTTTCAAAATATCATATAATATGAATTACTAAATAATTAATAATTCGTTTTCAAAGATTATAAACGGAAAAACAAGTGTCCTAATGAAAATGATATCGAAAGAATCATATAAATAGTTTAAATCGTGATGGATTTATAATCACGGTAAAAATCCTATAAGTTTCATTTTATAAAAAACATATATAAGTACGTGTATGTATTAATTTTGAAACATTTGTTGCCAAATGGTTACAGA